TACACAGTCAGAAGTCACTGACACCCTAGAAACTGGAACTCTAAAATTACTTTCATGCAAAGGTCAGAGTCGTGATGTCAGAGGGGTTTGGCACTCGATTTCTAGTTTACTGTTACTAAGGAAGAAATAATTGTGGTGCACAATGTCCAAAACGGGAAAATACAAGTGTTTGTGTTACAGTTTCTATGAAGCACAACTTAGCTTGTGTTTCAACTTTGCAAGAAATTGCTTTGCATCCATGTAAAAGCGTTTGTGATCTATAAGCCTGCGTCAGTAGGATGAAGATGGATGGAGAAAACAAGAGCAAAAGGTACAGAGCTGAGCTCTGTGCACACTGACTTGGTGTTAAAGGAGAGCGCACAGCGCGCTCAATAACGACAAACAGTTTAAGTTTGGAGGCCAGTCTTCACTTTGCTCTTTGAAACTCCCGTCAGGAGTGGGAGCTGCTTCCTCCGTCAGTCTGAACGCATTCCACCGTGCCGCTTGAAATATTTAACATCTTGACACATAAATTACTTGTTGTCTGAGAGGGTGTTAATCGCTGATGGCTGCCAGCCTGAAGGAGCAGCTTCTCTGCCCATTTTCTGCATTCCTCAAAGTGTTTGGCTCAAGAGCGTTTGACTTCTCTCTCTTCACTCTCATCTAGATGGCTGGAGGAGATCACATCCATAAGGATGAGATCATGACACGCTTCCATCTCACCTGAGAGAGTGAACGACTGTCTGTTTGCATGTTTTTGTGTAGCTGTTAGCACTTGTGTCATGTGCTCTTTTAAATCTGTTTTTCCTTTTATGTTAACCCCTCCAGCCCCTTCACTTCCTAGGTAAAGTTTTAGCTCCATAAATCTAAGGCCTAAGGGAAAAACCTGCAAACGTCTGTCCCATCTCTCAGTGCAAGTGAGATTTCAAAAACAAAATTGGAAGTTTTACTTCCGGCTAAACAAAACTGATGTAAATTAGACAAGAATAACACCGCGTGAGCTTTACTGCGAGCTCCGTCAGGCTCTCTCTTTAGTGAATATACCATGGACATGTTGCATTTCCTCCTAGAGTTAAGCTGTTTTTGCATCCCTGTGCTTTGTATCCTTGTATGGTGCAAATAGAGGAATCTGAGACGTGCAGGTGCTGACAGAGTAAAGACCTGGCAGAGTTCATCCTCTCGGCTCTCTCTTTGGGGTGACAGAGGCCGCCATGTGTGCGAGCCAAGGAACCTGCTGGAAACCACCTGGCATGAGATGGGGGTCAACAAATGATCGAGTAGAAGTAAACTAACCCGTTTAGTTATGATTTGGTCGCTATTACCAACCGCAGCACTTACAGCTAAACTTCACTTATCTTATTAATTATAAAGTTTCAGATCAGATTCTTTTGAAGTTGTGGAATGTCACTATGGCAACTTCACAAATATCAATTAGTTGTTTTTCTTCAGAAATGTTACAATAACCTCATCTGAATATTTGCAGACTCCTTTGGTTCATATTGGTGGTAAAGACGGACAGTTTTATCGGTGTGGTCAGGGTGAGACCTCTACCTATGTACCTCACTGCTTATGCCAGGGGTCTCGAACTCCAGTCCTCGAGGGCTGGTGTCCTGAACCTTTTCCATGTGTCCCTGTTGCAACACACCTGAATACAATTAGTAGGTCATTAGCAAGACCCTGCAGAACGTGACTGCATGCTGAGGTGATAATTCAGCCATTTGATTCATGTTGCAGCAGCTCATGAGTGAATGAACATGGTGCAATAAAAGTACTGTTAGAAGTAATTTTTTCCACTTCAGCATGCAGTCAAGTTCTACACTCTTACTAATGACCTACTAATTGTATTCAGGTGTGTTGCAACAGGGACACATGGAAAAGTTTCAGGACACTGGCCCTCGAGGACTGGAGTTCGAGACCCCTGCTTATGCAACACAGAAGAGCTCGACCAGTCCAGCTAACACAGCAGGATCCACCACAGACAGGTCAGCAGTCCCTCTTTCCTGTTGCTAAAACTCATGAAATAC